AGACATCGTCCGGTAACCTTCGGACATTGTTCGACAGCCTTCGGAAGTTAGGGGCACGTACTTGGGTAAGGGGCGCAGCGCACGAGCTGAAGCCAAGCCCTTCGGATCCGACCCTTGAGCACGTTCTTAACAAAGTCCATAAACTCCGGGTCGAAGGTCAAATAGATATCTTCCTGCCAGGGAGGAACAAGAGGAACTTGTGCTGGTCTTGGGATGCGAACCAAGTCACCAGCCCACTTGTAACAGCGGGAAGAAGGCTGATTAAGATGCTGTAAGAAATGTCCCTCATTTTTAAAGCGCTTGCTGCAGGATGGGCAACACATATCGAAGACACGAAGTACTAACTAGTCCAATTTAATTTGGGTCAATCACAACATTTCAGCAATTTCCGGTATGACGTGAACTGTAACTACAATGTCGAAGTGTCGTCCAAGATATGTCTCACCATCCCAATCATACTCAAATTTATTATCTTTGACATATCAAGGCCAAAAAACAGCTTCTGCAACTCTTTCCGTAGATCCAGACTCTGACGTTCCAGAAGACACGTCTGAATGCTTGGAAGTATATAATATAGTGAGTACTAATGAGCTTGATTTTAACACTTGCCTTGAAGTAAATTTATCTACAGCACAGACACCGTAACTCACATGACTGGAAATTCAGCGCCCACATTACATCAATGCCAGAGACTTCAGAGGAAGCAATATACTTGCTCGAGATGGCACGAGCCAATCTTGAAGTTCAACATCTCGAGATGGACCTTGCTGAGCGAGTTCTTCATCAATTTTCAATGCAAAAACACCACCTACTTCTCCAAGCAAAGAAGGCGAAGAGAAAATTCGGAGATGCAGAAGCTAATGTAGGGCGCACGTGTGCTCACTTGTTGAGGTGTGGATTTATTTGCTCAGAGCGGTCGCTTTGGTCTCCTCGTCCTGAACCCACCATTGAATCGGGTAAGTGAAATTGTTCTCACAATCAGTATGCAGGCTGATGAGTATGAGCTTAGAATCTGTCTGTTTGATGCTGGATTAATGATCATAGGTTTTTCCTTGTAAATGTTTTGTCCATACATATTCGCCTCTGCACATTTTATATTTTAGCTACTAGTAGCATGTCAATTGAACGAATATCGAGCTGTTAAACGCATTCTCTGAGTGTCTTTTATATTATGTGTATGAATAGTGCTGGTACTCCCTCCTAAGCTTAATGAAGACGAGCAAAACATCAATTTATTTGTGAATTTACATCACACTCTGTCGTCACTCTGAGATCTGAGCACCGAGCAGTAAGACCCTGTGCGCTGTGTGAGACTGTGCCGCACTGTTAGCCCTATGTGCTCTGTGCACTGTACCACTGTGGGGCTGTACCAGTTGTGTTGCTGTGGGAATATTGTACCCAAAACCGGTAGTTTGCTGATGGAGTATAGTTTTGGCCTGAGGGGATTGCTACTGAGAATGATTCCTCTAAGTACAAATATGAGGGGAAATTTTGGAAACTAGTAAGTGAGGTTAAGAAGCAAGGAATGTGAATGGCGAAGCCAAGCCAATACGAGCCAATGTGATGTGATGTGAGGCGCCAGAGGTATGAAATAATGTGAAAGCATGTGGCCGAGTTGAAGGGTAAAGATGCGAAAACCGCGAAATGCATGGACAAAGTGGTAAAAACAATAAGGCAGCCGCTAAAAATGCATGCACTGATATGTGCCGAGGTTTTTGATCTCAAGTGCGGATGTTCAGTTTTGCGTGCAAAGTGGTGATAGATTCGCATGCAGGAAAAGAAGAGTACATGAAAATTTCAAGTATGGGATATATATGTATGCGCACCTAAGTGTTACTCGGAACTGAGTAGATAACGATAAGTATGTAAGTAGGGTCCATGACACATTTAATGAGAATATAAATGAGATAGCTTGGGAAATGTCGTCAGTCTAGTATGATTTGAGTAATATACGCACCAATGAACCAGCGGAGGATATGGATAGGATGGATGGAGGATGTGCAACGGATCCGAAGAGAAGCTGATGTGCATGTGTGAGAGCCGCAGCTGTCGGCCGATAATGGAAGGCTTGCATGCTATACCAATGGTAGTGTGCACTGTATTAGAACCAGAAGGACAACACAAAAATGGCCTACATGAGGCCGCAAAGACCATAGGTCTTACAATGGTACTCTCACACTATTAAGACCATGCACAAAGGGTAGGACTAATTTTGAGGGTCTTGACTTCAGCTCATGCACTGCGCCCCTTACCCGAGTATGTGCCCTTAATGTCAGAATAATGTCCAGAGAAAGTCCAAGGACATCTGAAGGACATCTAAAGCATGTGAAAGTTCAGAAGGACTTTCCGGATGAGTGCAAGAACTTCCAAATGAGTGCGGGAAAGTTCTGGAGGAACTTCCAGAAATTACAATGAGGTTTTTTTTTTGTCCTGATACAGATACATGTAATAGCTACTTAGGACAAGTCCTAAGTAGAAGCAAACAGAGGAAAGGCTGCAAGGATGAAGTTCAAAGCAGAATAGGTCCGGAGGACTGTGGGAAAGTTCCGGAGGAACTTCCAGAAACTCAGAGGAGTAGAGGAGCAGAGGTCCGGCCTAGGGAATTACTCCCTAAGCCTAAGGTGGATGTTAACAAGGAAGAAACTAGTTATGAGGATTTAGTGTGAAAGCTAGTGCGAGGACTAATATGATATTCAGACTAAGGAAATACAGGAGTATCTACAAAAGTTTATATACTAGAGGCAAGTCTGTGCAGATCAGTAAGCAGAGGGGTAAGGCTATGTACGAGCATGTGGACATGTATTAGTAAGTGAAACGGTCATAGAAAATAAACTTGGAGATAAAACTCGTACAAGAGAAACAGAGATAACTGAAGACTGGAGACAGGTGATTACCATAAGGGGATGGGCACTGATTTAAGGTTTGGGTTTGGATATGAAACATAGGTTGGATCCGGAGATCTGGATGTGGATATGCGGAGGTGGATGTGCAGAAGTACAGGGATCTGGATGGGTGGATATGCAAAGGTGCAGGGATCTGGACAGACAGAGGACTGGAGACATGGACAGGAGGTCTGGAGGTCTGGATGAGGCATGGGACCATTGTCAGATGTAGGTACAAAATGTGGGATATGACACACACGACAGGACATTCTCAAAGTGCAGGGCTGTCAGACCCCTCACCTAACACATGTCCCTCTGAAGCTCCAAATGCTACAAAATCAACTGCATGTGTCATAGGACCTTCCAATGTTGCAAACGACCCAATACCCATTAATCCTGTAATATCATTTATCCTGTTGTATGTTTTCATTGTCATTTTGGCATAGGATCATATAATGATCACATTTTCAACCAGTCTCAAACTTATGTTTTGAGTAAATTTTGACTGTAGTTAATTTAATTTAATTTTCATTGGAATCAAGCTAGAAAATTTTTGTCTATGAATGCAGGCAATATATTACTTTGATTCCGATCACATTTTGGAGTTTGTTTTAAAATTTTATAACACCCTATGTTTTCCTTATTTCTACACTTTTGTTTCTCTGATATATAATGAAAAATACAAAGTCAATTGACAGAAAAAGTTTGAACAAATGTTAAGATAATATATCCTTTGCTCTGTAAACAAAATCAATAACAAAATAAAATCTAACTGTTTTTTGTTAACAAATTACATTTTGACCAAAGTTGACATCAACAGTCAGCAGCCAACAGTTTACAGGTTGGTCACTTATTATATGTTTACCTGTTAACTGTTGACTGCTAACTAGTAATATCGAGGCAACAAAGTAAAATCTGAATTTTTTCTGTTTGCAAATCAACTTTTGACCAAAGTCAATATTACTAGTTAGCAGTCGACAGTTAACAGGTAAACATATAATAATTGACTAACCTGTAAACTGTTGGCTGCTGACTGTTGATGTCGACTTTGGTCAAAATGTAATTTGTTAACAAAAAAACAGTCAGATTTTATTTTGTTATTGATTTTGTTTACAGAGCAAAAGATATATACAGTGTACAACTAATTACCATCTGAGGCAGGTGATGCTGTCAGTGATGTATAGCTAAGAAAGGAAGTGTCACCCATCCAGTACACTATTCACCTGCCACTTTTGGACATTGAACATCTCCCTCCCAACAGATCACTATGACTTGTAGAAGCAAGACGAAGTCTCAGCGAGTGTGATAAACAACGCTATACTATATTTACCTAGATGAAGTCTAGGTTACATGTTAGCAAGAGTAGATGCGAGTGACAATGGTTCACGTACCTCAGCGAGTGTGATAAACAATGCTGAGGTGGAACTACATGCGAGCAAGACTTTAAGTACCAAGTAGCAAGAAGACTGTGAGTCGGAAAGAAGCCCACCGGTGGTGGTGACATGCGGTGTCGAAGATGACAAGAAAAGGTAAGACATGTAAATAAGCAAAGAGAAGCCTCAGAGGTTAATCCTCCAAGGCTGGTATCATGCATACGTATCCGAGTCGTGTCGTCCAACACACCCCCTCACTGTAAATAGTGCGAAGCATCTGCCAAACCTGTACTCTCCAATCACCCTCCTCGAACCCCTTAGGCTGACACATGTATATCTCTTCTCTGAGTACTCCCCATAGGAATGCCCATGTCGTGTCAAAAGAATGAAGTTCCCAATCATTTTTGCAGGTGAGAGCAGTGATGAGACAGAGTGATGAGGTTTTGAGCACCGGTGCAAACATTGCACCATAATCCACCCCCAGAATCTGAGAAAAACCTTGGGCGACTAGGTGAGCTTTGTAGGCTGGTCCGCCCTTGTTGTCCTCTTTGAATTCAAGGACCCAGTGGTTGCTGATTGCCTTGCGTCCAGCAGGGATGGTGGTTAGTTTGTAGACCTTCATGTTGTCCATGATCTGAAGCTCTTTCCTCATCACCATCAGCCATTCATCTCAGTCAGGACGGAGCATTGCTTCTTCATATGTGGTGGGGGGAACTTTCATGTCATAGTCTGCAGTGTTAGGGTCTCATTTGTGGTCACTCCTGATGGTAATGTTTGTGTGTTCTTCAATCATGACATTGGCGTAGACCTCGGGGATGTCAATATTCGGCTCTATATCTGCTAAGTTCTCGTTTCCTGCTTCTACCTCTGTTCCTGCATCTATATTCACCGACTTCTCCCTCACCCCCTCACTCAAGGGAGCAGACCCTGCCGTGCGTGCCTCGCGTAAGTCGCGCAAGCATGTAAGACATTCCTTAGTGGCCGCCATGCCCTCTGAAAAGGCGCGACCGGCTGGTGTGGGTACCTTCAATCTGCCAGAACGTCGAGCAGGTACAAGAGGAAGCTGTGAAGGGTGCTGCGAAGGATGAGTGACTGGAGTGGCAGCAGAGGGTAAAGAAGCAGGAGCCATGGGAACCTCATCATTAGAGTCAGAGTCCTAAGAACTGGGGCCTATAGTGGGGAAGCGCTCGTTGAAGATGACATCACGGGCAGTGAAGAAGGTCCTGTTGCTGTCCCGCAAATGATAACCTCTCATTCTGTCAGGGTAGCCTACAAAAATAGCGCGATGTGAATGAGGACTGAGCTTGGTTTGTAGCTTGGTGGGAATACATGTGAAGCACTGTGAGCCAAACACCCAAAGGCGCGAGAGATCAGGCTTTTGGCCATTCACCATCTCATAGGGAGTGATGTCTGATGGTAAGGTTCTTGAGGCGCTCCTGTTCCACAAGTAGCACACAGTGAGCGCTGCCTCTCCCCAAAGGTTCGCGGGGAGGCGCGCCGTCTCCAACATCGCAAAGAGGCAACCTTTGATCATGCAAATAGCATGCTCCACCTTCCCATTCTGTTGATGGGCGTAAGGTGCAGAGAGCTGTCGCTCAATCCCACAATCTTGTAGGTCCTTCATGAAGGCTTTACTAAGGAACTCACCACCATCATCAGAGCGAAAGATTTGCACTGAATGTTCTGAGTGGTTCTCCCAATGGGCCTTGGTAATCCTCCAAGCCTCCAGTGCCTGTTCCTTTGTCACAAGAAGCTGGAGATCAAGCAGGTTTGTGTGATCGTCGAGGAAGATAATAAAATGCACTTTGCCATGGGGTGTAATGATGGGGAAAGGACCGCATAGGTCAGAATGAATCAGGTCAAGCATGTGACTGGCGTGGGACTCCTCAGAGGATGGGTAAGGCTTACAAGGATGTTTTGCCATGATACATGGCTCACCAATGCAGAGGACTGGACATTTTGAACGTCACACCAGTGGATGTGTACTTAAGGCGTTTAACAGTGTCTCCACCTGGATGACCCATACATGTGTGCCACAAGTCAAAAGACAATGGTGAGCGAGTGAATGTGGAGAGTTCTCGGGTGTGAAGTGCAGGAGGGGATGCATTCGGATAGATGAACTTGAGATCGACAAAGAAGAGATTTCCTATCATTGGGAGCTCTCCCAAAAGCTCACCGTGGTATTTGAGCTGACATCGAGCAGGGGAGTGCTCAAAGGCACATGACCACCATTTCTTCAGCATGTGTCCAACTGAAAGCAAGTTGATCATTGCCCCGGGTGCGTGTAGACAGTCAGTGATGATATGGAATGTTCTTCCCCCAAGTTTTAATTCTGCAATGCAGTCACCACATCCTGACATTGCAAGTTTGCTGTGATTGGTGGTCTTAACGGTCACAGTGGAGTTCTCCAAGTAAGTCCAGAAATAAGAGTGATTGATGATAAGGTTCAAGGTGGTGCCGGAATCTAAGATGGTAGATAGCATTTGACTGGATATGCAAGCGACATTGTCGAAGCTTGGGTATGAGTCAGGATCGTCAAGTAGAGTCTCTTCCAGTATCGCACACGATAGGTCACGGACAGCTGCAGCAGTGCTGTTGGAGTATGAAGGCGGTGCTACTGGTGTAGAGTTAGATGAAGTGGCATTGCTCTCACTGGTGACAGCGGAGACCTCTGGTTTCCTGGTGTTGGGTCCCCTCTCACAATTTCCAATGCCTCCCTGGCCCTCCATTCCTCCTCCCGACTAGAAGCAATGATCACGATCATGTGTCAATAACCATGGCAGTCCAGAACACGCTGGGTTCTCCCAGCTCACCCCCTTAGAGTTTGACTTATGGATCTGTATGCCCATTTTCGGATTGGTTCTCCCATCAGTAGGATGGGAGAACGACATGGCATTAGCATATTCTGATCCTGGTCCAGAAAATTTTGTTCTCCCTGAAGGCGATTAGCCTCCTTGGACAGTGAGGAGACAATTGCTGTGAAGGTCATTTTGGTAGTGGTGGCTGTAGTAGTGGAGGAAGATGCGGGAGTGACTGATGATGCACTGTAAAGGTTCAATGTCATGCACTTAAATATGACCCACTCGGGAGTGGAAGGGAGACCGTAAAGCAGGAGAAACACCATCTCATCTTCTGTCACTATGACACCCATCTCAGTGAAGCGACATCTGGTGTTCTCGAATGCACTAATGTAGTGGGATGTGTCGTCAACGTCCTTGAGTTTCTCAGCGAATAATTGTGCTCGAAGCTTGAACTGAGATGTTACGTCGAGGTGTGTGTAATACATTGTGAGAGTGGTCCATTGCTCCCTAGCTGTCCAGTCCTCACTTAAGAGTCCTTGAATAACTGCTGACAGCTTCCTGCAAATGATACCCTTGGCTTGAGCATCATCTTTGATCCATTCAATTATGGTTAATTTTTTGGCAGCAGTGGGAGACCTGGGGACAGCAGGCGAGGGCATGACCGAGGCGACTTCAGCGTAGTTGTTGGGATCGGTGCCAGAACTACAGTGGTTCCATAATCCGTCTGCTTGAAGAGCCAGAGGGACTGCACGACACCAGGCTGGGTATTCATCTGTGCTAGATAGTTCAATGATGTGGTCATACTTTCCCATCGTGATGAGGAGGAGTTTAGGACATGGAGAGAGTGATTGAATTATGACCCGCAGTGGTGAGTGTTTCACTTGGTTCATTTCGTGAGGAGGGAGGTCTGCTTCCTGGTTTGGGGCTGTGTTAAAGCCCAGGGCTCATAACCTGTAGAAGCTAGACGAAGTCTCAGTGAGTGTGATAAACAACACTATATTATATTTACCTAGATGAAGTCTAGGTTACATGTTAGCGAGAGTAGATACAAGTGACAATGGTTAACGTACCTCAGCGAGTGTGATAAACAACGCTGAGATGGAACTACATGCGAGCAAGACTTTAAGTACCAAGTAGCAAGAAGACTGCGAGTCGGAAAGAAGCCCACCGGTGGTGGTGACATGCGGTGTCGAAGATGACAAGAAAAGGTAAGACATGTAAATAAGCAAAGAGAAGCAAAGAGAAGCCTCAGAAGTTAATCCTCCGAGGCTGGTATCATGCATACGTATCCGAGTCGTGTCGTCCAACATGACTGACTGTGTCAAGCTTATACACAGCAAGAATAATATCAGCCTGATGAAGGCCACACACGACACTCAACACTTCATACCAAAGACTGTATGTGTGCAAGGGGCATCTGGCATTAATGCCTTTGCCAAGTGCTATAACTGTGCCCTCCCACTCAAAGGGCTGCTTGGTGCAGCCATGTTTAATGCAAGGAAGCCTGAGCAATAGCTCCTAGCTCGGGACCATCTTGGTAAATCAATGTCCACTGTCTGATAGCCTGTCCTCTCACCTATTATCTGATTTGAACCAGAGCCCCCATCACCATAAGGCCTAGGTCTAGAAAGAGAGCATGCATGTGCCAATAAAGGCCAGCTACAACCCTCTCTCCTTTTCATCAGCCTTTGAGATTATTTCTTTAATGATCCTTCTGCAAGTTCACCTACGGAAACCTTATGACGACTTTTGCTCCCTCTAAATGGCCAAGTTTGATCAGCTTCTCAGTAATCAGTAGTAGCAACAGGCGGTGTGTACAAAGGGTAGGGACATAATCAACGTGAGCTGATGACTCGCGCTTACTAGGAATTCCTCATTGAAAAGCAATAATTGTAATGCTCTATCCCCAGCACGATAGAGATTTACAAGATTACCTGGACCTTCCGGCCAAGGAGAAACAAACTTACTAGCTCCGTCAGTGTAGTGTGTGTGCGGCCCAGAACATCTAAGGGCATCACAGACCTGTTATTGTTTCAAACTTCCATTGGCTAGATGCCGACAGTCCCTCTAAGATGCTACTACTGTTACTACTGCAGACCTCAATGCTTATCAGCAGCAGTGGACCCCATTGGTGGACTAATTTGGTGTTGAGCAGCCACTGAAGCATAGCTGAGAGTGAGTATTAGGGGATTATCTTCCCCTGTACACCTTCCAGCCTATCAACCACATTACAGAAGTTTGGGACGAGCATGCGGCTGGGTTGAATGAATTTCTCACAGTCCATGACCTTGATGAGCACTGGCAGGCATGCTGGAGATGGAACATCAAGACTCTGCAAATGGAGAACTGCTGATGAACAAAAATTACAGCCCTGGTTGAAACACTTGCATGAAAGCCCACCTGGAATATCAATCTGGCACTCCATTTCCTGTGTGAGAGGTATGAGACTCACCCTGACCTCAAAAGGCCTTGTATGTTCTGTGAGTACTTGCAGAAGGGAGGTGGAAGTGGCAACAAGGAAGTGCTCGCAGTGGGTACCAATTACCCTTGATTCATACATTCTCAGTGCTTGCTGATGGTCTCTTTCCTATCTTACAATATGAGTCTTGTTTTTCTGTACAGTACAGTTTTTTCCTTCAAGCAGAATCTATTTGATTTCAGCAAAAAACAAACTATGCAAACAAACTATGTACTACAAAGCACAGGACGAGCGTGCTGGCAACTCTAAATTCATTTGAGAACACTAGCCAATACTGGAAACTTTGAGTTCAAGAACATGACCAGGAGCACAAGACAAGAACACTAACCAATACTGCAAACTTTGAGTTCAAGAATAGTGGCCAATACTAGAAACTCTGAGTTCAAGAACACAACCAGAGCACAAGATGAGAGCACTGACAAATACTAGAAACTTTGAGTCCAAGAACACTACAGGGCATAAGACTAGTGCATCTGCAACTCCGAGTTCAGGAACACAGGAAGAAGAGTCATTTGTGGTCGTCTATACTGAGGACTCATACCTTCACTGGTCCTAGGAGAGTCATCTGTGGTCGTCTGTGAAATGGAGAGAGGATGGTCTGAACAACTCTTGAGTTTTGAGAGAAGGAGAGAAGAAGCATAAGTTAGAATGAAATTAGCCACTGAGAGTACTGACGACTTGTACCTTTACTAGTCCTACTGCCCACCTCAATAAATGCCTTTTAAATGATATTACTGGATTCAGCAAGCACCTGCTATTTATTGTCAGATTCACTAGTCATTCAGTTCAATCCTCTGTGGTCATGCCCTTCATGTTACAGTTAATCATACATGTCTATATTCACCAAAT